CTCCCACGGCCCGCGCGTTTCCCTCCTCCACGCGGGAAGCGGAAGGGCCAGCGAGCGAGCGGCCCCGGGCGCTCCCTTTGAGGGCTGCGTTTTCACCATCCTTCCCTTCTCTTCCCAAGCACATCCCTCCGCATCCATCATCTCTGCCCACGCGGCTCCCAAGGGTGGGGAAGAGCAAGGGGCAGGTGAAGGGCTTTGCTCCAGTGAGCGCTGCCGTGGATTCATCAGCCCCAGCCGTGTTTGCGCATAGGAAAACACTTCTGTTCATCAGTTCCATTTAACACTGCCAGCACCATTCGGAGAGCCCGTCCTTACTAGCCCTGATCATAAGCATACACGTCTGCTACCTGGCTCATTCCGAAATGCTTTTGTTAAGACACACTGCAAATTGCCAAATGCCTCTGTGCTGTAAGTGTCCAGCACTTCCTATGTTCACATATGCCTGTGAATTAATCAGCCTGGCTTCACGCTTCTCCCCTTTACTTGCTCTAAATTTCTGTATTACACAGTACAGCTCCAACAGATCAAGACAGAGCCAAAAAACACCCTGTTTGTGATAAGTGTGACCTAGCACTTGTGCTCTCAGAGCGAGGAAATATCGGTGCCGCTCCTGGCTGTCTCAGTACGTGAGTCAGTGTCAATTTTAGCGGCACCCCTCCAATTACATGTCTATGCCGCCAGGAAGGGCTGGAACGAATCGCTCTTTATGAAGTGCCTATCCAAACAATAAATCATATATCCGTGGATGATTGAGGTGTCACATGCATTACCCAGCCCTCCAAACACACCTTGTATTGCAGAAATTACAAACATGACAGATCTTTACAGCAAACCACTATTAAAGACATTGCTGTCGATATAGAAAATGTTAATAGTCATCAGCTGAGATACAGCCTGGACTTGCTCCTTTCCAACCCTAAAATGGGGTTCCTGGTGCAGAGATGCTTTGAACGGGTTTTGTTGCTTTCCACCTTTCTTGCTGCCTAGGCAGAAAATCTGTGCTCCAAATCCAGGCTCTGGATTCAATGGACATACTGCAGACAGAGAGTGTGAAATGCCTGTGCATTACAACCCGGCAAACTCTTGCTATTGGAAAGCTGTAGTAGCTAAATATAAAACAGCCATATGCATTAATTAAAGGGAATGTGTTTTTTTTTTTTTTTTTATTTATTAAGGCATTTTTTTCCCCACATTGCATTAAATACATTTTTAAATCCTGCAAATTAAGGAAGAATTATGGCCAGGACTTGAAAGCACTTGCTTGTTTTTTGAAGTTAGTTCCACACAACATCCCACTGTGCTTCCTTATTTCAAGGAAAGCTGAAGCTGCCTTGCGGTTTTCAAAACTCGTTGGTCACGCCACCCTTATCATGCAGGGCTGCTTGGTGCACGCTGGCCACGCCATGGCCAAACACCCTGCGCCAACCCCGTGCTTGGAACTAGGGGCTAATAAAAAAACTTTCTGGGAATTGGAACACACAGAGGAAGAGCAGAACTACTGCTAACATATATGACATAACCACTGCTAGCGCCTGTGGTGCTGGGGTAAGAACCGAAAGCTGCGTGCATGGCACACACGCTCATAGGTCTATTTAGGGAATTCAGTAAAAGTTCAACATGCGAAAGGCAGGAAATTGCTGTGACTTTGCAGCATTTTTGGGGATGAACAAAGCTGCCTGTGGGAAATAACCACATAAACACTATATATTCCTACATAAGATGAGTATACACTTGAAAACCATACGTGCTTCTCTGAGAAGAGGTTGAATATCCAGGTTATATATTCCAAGTCTCCCAAATTATTTTCATGACATTTAATGTCATTAAAGTTTTTCTTCTCCAAAGCCTTGTTTCCATTGACTGTGCAGCTGGCAAATCTAGGTGCTTCAGGAACCCTGCCGATTCCAGCAGGTAAAACCAAGTAAAATGGCTTTAAAATAGAGGACAAACAGTGAACTGCCTGCTCAGGACTCGCTTGCATGCAGGGGGCTTTCTGGAACACACAAATCACAATAGGTCTCATTCACAGTGAAAAGTAACAACCAAACAGCAGTTAAAGCCCCACACTTCTACGAATCCTTCCTAAAATAATCATTAATAAATTCTATGCAGGGATTCCCAAAATGCAGAGTTAAATACTGGAGGTAAAAGAAACCCGTGAACACAGGAACCAGTCTTTCAAAGCTTTTTAAAAATAAAATAACATGGGTTACTAAAAAATTGCCAGCAACACATATACATATACACAGAGAGCACATGCATGTATATATATATATAAAATAAAGCATGCCTGCATGACCCACCCGTCAGAGCTTGCCATGACTTTGTGCAGATAAGCTAATCGGAATTGCCTCTTGGATAAGCTTTAGGATGTGAATTACTCCTTTGAACCAAGGAAAGGCCCCCAGCACAATGTTTTCCACAGCATGGCAACCTGTAGCATTCATTAACCCAATAAATCCCCACATCTGCATGCAAAACTGGTCTTGGAGGCCAGTACTGCTCTTAATATTGAAATACCTGAGCATCTTCCAGCAGTACCTAAGAAATGTAACTATCTGCTGTATTTCTTTTAAGTATACTTCCAACCAAGGAGAAAGCATGTGCAATTGACTTGTTTTTTGTGATTTTAATGCTATGCTACTAGGTATTAAAGAAAAGCAGACAGTGTGGAAGATGTGTACTGGCTTATTTGCTTGGACTATTTGTATGTCAGGAAAAAAAACAAAAAACAAACAAAAAAAAAAACAGGTTTTCCACAGCAGAACTTTGCAATCTCATTCCTGTCACTTCTAAGGACACAAGTCCCTGCATGGAGTGCCTGGGGACACCATGAGAGCTGCTCTGGCACAGCACAGCCTGCAGCAACAGAGCAGCAGAGAGGACAAGTGCCAACCTCATTTTCTTCCCTGACAGGCCTATGAAAACTGTCTTTTAAAGCTTTTAAAAACAGCTTTAAAAATAGCTTTTAAAGCTATTTTAAATAAACAACCAATTATTAATTTTTTAATATTAGCCATAATTTTGTCAAAAATCAATTTTACTTACAAGGGGAAGCACTAAGGGACATACTGGGATAACCTCAGGGCATGGCAAATACAGGATCTGCATCTGAAGGCCAAATTTCTCTCTTACTGATAGAGTTCAACTATAAAGTGTGCCTTGACGTTTCCAAAACCACCCAAAATATCAGTAACATGATTCCCTTGAGGTGCTGCAAAGTCTAGCAAACAAATGGCTCACACTGCTTCTAAAACTTGCAGTTTTGCAGTTCTCGGTCTGATGTAATACAGAACGTACAACAAATATTTCACTTACCTAAGCTTTTAAACACGACAGTATCAGAATTGTTGCCTTAAAGCAGTGTTTCCTATAAACAAAGGCGAACCCAGGGAATTCCCTACCCAGGATGTCTCTGGAATGACAAACAAGTGAGTAATATAACTCTTTTTAAATATCAGTTTCTCCACCATCTTCTTTGCATAATTGTACAGAAAAGAACTTAGGTCTGAAAACATCAATACAAACATAATAGCAGATCCCACTTGATCTAAAACAGTCTTGTTTCTCTGGAGCAACAAACAATGGTAGAATTGAGTGAAAATGGCAATTCTAAACAAATTTTATCTTAGGTTTCCCTTGCTGAAAAGGGGCCACCTGATTTTACATTAAAAAAGTCAAATTTTAATCTTGGCAATATATTGGTTTTTACCAACTAGCATTCAAGTCACCGTACACACAGTACCATAAATTTCTAATCTGCTACATATTGGTCATATGAAGAAGTTTAAGACATCACAGCTGAAAAACATTTGCAAAGCTACTTTTAAAAGCCCACCTGTGTGCCATAATCAAACAAAATTTACTTTCCAAGTAGTAATTTGGATACAAAATTCACACAAAAATCAGGTCTACAAAAAACTTTAAATATTTATTATAGTTATAGCAGCTTTATATATGACAAAATTAAAAAGTAAAAGTATTGGAATTTCATTGCTTCATGATTTTTTAACGAAGAAGTTCGTCAGAAGGCCCCTGGGATATCTGTAGGCATCCTTAACAGTTCATCAACTTCTTCTTGTAAAGCCTCAGCTTTTTCACTCAGCAGCATCTATAATTAAAAGCAAATCATTAGGAAACAAACACAAGGGCATTTGTTGGCTGCAAGGAAGAACAAAAATAGATGCCTTTTCCAAGCTTTTACCTGTGTCAGTATGAAAGAAAGCAAAAATTGTGGTTGTTAGTAAGACTGTGGTTTCTCCTTCAAAGGACTAAAGTTTCCACTGGCACTACTGCTATTATATTCTACTGCTTAGGCTTACTGGTCCAGGAAACACCGTAAAACCTAAGGAGCCACAAGATCCATGAAATACTAATTCACTTCAGTCCCACACTTTTAAGCACACGAAAATGACAGAACAAACCACTTCATCTAGCACCTGTAAGCAAAACATTTTTAACTTGAGGCATTTATTTTCAATGTTAATGTAAGTAATCATATGTTGGACCCACTAAATTACAATCACTTGGGGATTGAAAGGTGAGGGTAGTGTTTCACTCCTCATTTCATCAGACAAGCTGTCAAACTTGGCTTCCCTCTTGGGCAACTCTCGCTATCCTGCACATAAGCTACTAGAATAGTTAACATTTGCCCATCATTCGGGTGCACTAAGGTCAGCAAGTGCTGGATTCCTCACGTTTGTACAAGAGTTAAACAACTCCTAGACCAACAGTACTGCAAAGAACAGTAGTACTTCAGTAGATCTTTAGTAGATCAAAAATACTCATCTCAGATATCCAAAACACCTGAAGGCTTTTATTACTAAAAAAATCTTTCCCTTTGACAGTTGAAGCCTTTGAAGCATTTTTTTTTATATATATAACATTTTTACTTACTTTTGCAGATGAAACTATCTGTTTGGCTTGACGTCGTGACAAATGCTCAATCATCCTCACCAGTGTTTCTGGATTTGCATTAGCTAAGTGTGCTAAAGTTTTGTACCCTGCATTATAGAGCTGTTTTGCACGTGCCTGCAAGCAAAAAAATTAACATGCGGCAGAAAATTACTAGACAAGACAAAAATTGTCATCCAATCTACCCATGCATATCAGTCTGATCCCTTGTGAATCACCTTCTGCAGAACACCCACACTCTCTGCAATGGTGCTGAGCACCTGATAAGCATCCTTAGCCACACAGACCCCTTG